AATAAATAAAGGAGATTAAATATATTAAGTAAGTCTTAAAATAGTAGTATAAGTCTTTATAATAAAAGGCTAATTTATAATATATTAGTAGTAATAGTTCTTAAAGTCTTATAAGAACTTAATAAATTAATAATATTTATAACTTAGAGGCTAGCTATATAATAATATATCCTAGAGTTCTTAGCTAATAGCTTACTTAAATAAGGTAAATAATATTTTTTTAAGTATTTCTCCTTTTAGCGCTAAGCGCTAAAACTTAATAAAAAAGATTTTAAATTTCTTATTAATCTAATAAAGGTTAAATAATTTATTATATATATTATTTATATAATTAGGATTATTAAATATATATTTTAAGATATTTAAAATCTTTTAGTAATTATTAAGAATATAGATTTTATTTCTAATATATAGTAATATTTAAGTATAAGATATATCTTTTAAGTAATTAGTTATATAGGCTATATAGCTTTAAAAGATTAGAAATTAGTTTTAATTAATTATTATTTTTTTAAATCTAGATTATAAAGTACTAAAAGTTCTTTTAGTTATCTTTAAACTTATTTAAGTTAAGAAGTCTTTTTAAAAATTTAGGGGCGGAAAAAGATATAATAATAAATATTTTAAATACTCTTATTAAAGTAACTGCAGATCTCTTAATATTAGGCTTAGATTTAAATATAAATATAAATATATTTATAGTAGAAATAGCTATATAATAAGCTTAATCCTTTTTAAAAATAGCTTAAATATATTACTATTCTTTTTTATTAAGCTATACCTTTTAATATTATTAAATAGCCTTAAGATTAATATTTTCTTATTTAAGTCTTTATTATATAGCTATAAACTCTTATTAAAGTTTTTAAAATTTTATCTTAATTTATTTAATATATTAGCTAGCTTTATTTATTAATAACTTAGCCTTAGCAATATATTTATATACTAAGTAATAATAATTATATTATTTTAGCCTATAACTAGTAGTAATATACTTAATAAACTCTTCTAAAATAATTAGCAAAAATAAGAGAATTAGGGTAAATATTATTAATAGTATTAACTTCTAGATAAGAGCTACATAGTATTAAGGTACAGGCTTAGAGAGTAAGTTAAAATAAATAGAATAAGTAATTAATACTAAGACTAGCTATAAAATCTCTATTTAATTAATTTAGACTAAAATAGGCTATTATAAATAGGCTTAGTAAATAAAATATAGCTTAAAAAGCTTAAATCTAGATTAAGCTATACGCTAAAGATATCCTTTATAAGGTTATATAATTTCTTATATAATCTAGAAGAGTTAAGTCTTACTCTTCTAACTTATATAAGTATTAGCTAGCGGATTTTCCTAGGCTAATACTATAATACTTCTTAATAAATAAGAAGAATAAAAAGAAAATAATCTTAATTATAAGGAATAAAAATATTAATTAAAGTATTATATTTTTTATATAAGACTTTAAATATACTTTAAGAATAATTAAATCCTAGACTTATAATTAATATATACTTAGTATATATAGAGTAAATACCTACTGCAAGTTATATACCTTAAAATAATATAATTAATATAAGTATAAATAAATTAAATAAGAATATTAGTACTATATATCTTATAAGCTACTAAAATATATAAATAAAGTATATAAATTTAAGCTATATATAGAGATAGCTTATATAATATACTATAATTTAAAATTATTTACTAATAAGTAACTAATAAAGGTAACTAGTAGCTAAGAATATATTTAGCATATACTAAGATTAAATAGAGAGTTAAACTTATTTTATATTATTTAAAGATTATTAAAGTTTAATTTAAGTATACTTATATTTTATTTTTTAAATAAAAATAATACCTTATTAATTATTAATTTTAAAAATAAGAAATTTATTATATTAATTTTTAGTTTCTTTTTTAAAAAGTTTATTAATAAAAGTAATATTAAATATATAACTTACTTTTTTATAAAGCATTTTAAAAATACTTAATTTAATATAGTTATATTTATAGTATTATCTAAGCATATGCTTTAGCATATATTTACAATGTTTAATACTGCTGCATTTAAATACTTAATAATATATCTTATTTTAAATTTTATCTTTTTTATCCTTTTAAAAAAATAGAAGAGATAAAGTCTTATAATTACCTTAAGTATAAAGCTTAAACTAGATCTAAGCTATATTTAGTATATGCTTATAATATCTTAAATATTTACTTAAGATAAAGTATAAATATACCTTTAATATAAATTGTTAAAATATTTAATAAATATTTATATTAAAATAGTTATAAAGTAAAGAATTCTTTTAATAAATAAAATATAAGATACTATTAAAATAAGTTATTAGATATTTAAAAATAAATAATTTATTTTAAATATTATTAACTATAATCTTAAAGATATTATTATAGCTAATAATAATATTTATAAGAGAAATAATCTTTTAAATATATTTAGCATATATCTTACTAGAACTTATAAAAAAAATATATTTAATTAAGTTCTATATAAAGAGAGAATTTAAGATATATCTTAAATTTTTTATCTTTACTTTATATATAAGAATTAATACTACTTTAATTATTTATTATATCCTTAAACTAGTTTAAGTATACTTTATAAAGATTATAGTTTTATATAAGTTTACTTTATAAAGAGTTAGCATTTAGTTTAAATATAATTAATATTAAATATATATTTAGCATTTACTTAGCCTTAGTAAAAGTTATATTAAATATATTTAAATAAGAATATTATATAGCTATTAATTAAAAATGCTATTAATTTAGCTATTAATTATAGTTATTTAATTCTTAGCTATTTTTAAGTATTTAGAGATAAAATAATAATATTTCTTAGCTTTATATTAGCTATTATATATATATATATATATATATATATATTATAAATTTTAAAGAGTTTTATTATATAAATACTATTATTAATTCTTAAATAAGCTAATTTTATATTAATTATATAATTAGCTTATACTTAATCTGTATATAAGATAGATTAAGCTTAACTTAGCTAAAGATAAGCTTTAAGGTAGGCTAAGCTTTTAGGGTAAGTTAAGCTTAGCCTTAGCTAAGCTAAGATATAAGCCCTTATTAAGCTCTTTAATATTTATATATATAAAAGCTTTTCTTTATTTTTTATTACTTTTTCTTTAATAAGTAAAAAATTTATAAATTTAATAAATTAGTAGAATTAAAGATATAGAAGAATTTTATTATAAATACCTTAAAGCTTTAATAATAGTTACTTATATTAATAATTAGCTTAATTAATAAAGTAGTAATTAAATAACTTAACTTAATTAAACTCTTAAATAATTTCTTAATTAAGTATTTTTATTAGCTTTAAGAAATTATATTATAATAATATTAATTTTAAACTTTTATATTAAAATTATTAAGTAAGTTATTAAAGTTAAAGTATATATTAAATATTATTATAAAGCTTACTTTACTATATCTTTAAGCTTTATTTTTATTTAACTTATTTACTTATTTAATTAAGCTTACTTTATTATACCTTTAAAATAAGAAAGTTATTATAATACTATAATATTAACTAGCTTTATATAATATTATAATAACTTAATATTACTACTTTTATAATTAATTAAAGTATAATTATTTAAGTTAATAATATTATAATTTTCTTACTATTTTATTATTAAAGTATTTTTTTTCTTTACCTTATTTATAAAGACTTTCTTTAATCTTAAAAAAACTATTTTAACTTTATTTTATATATTATTAATATTTATATTAATAATTAATATATTTAATAAGTAAAATAAGTTATTAATTCTAAGCTCTTATTATTATTAAATAAGAATTTTAAATAATTAGTAATAACTAGCTTAGTATTTATCTTTTTAAGTACTTAAGGGCTATAATATTAACTTATAAGTTACTTTATAATTATCTTTAAATTATTAATACTAAAATTTATTAGAGTAAGTATATATAAAAGGTTTAATCTTATAATAAAAGCTAATAGTAATTCTAAGAAAAGGGAATACTTCGCAAAGAATTAGGTAGCTCTTACTATATTATGTATACTAATTCAGGTTAGCTCCTAAATAACTAATCTTTGCCAAGTGTCTGAGCTATGCTAAGATAACCTCCGGCTATTTTCTTCTGCGCCTTCTGTGCCGCGCCAATATTTTACAAATCCTTACGGGTATTATGTTTGAAGAATAGAATGCATTCTATTGTAAACCATCTTGCGAGTAGCTAGTTGTTGCCGACACAGTGGAAATTACCTCGCTGACAGCGGTCGCAGAATGGCATTTTCTTGTCTATTTTGCATTTATTAGGGGTCATGAGTGAACAAAGTAACTAGACTCCAACCATACCGCATTTGGCTCTTTTATTTCGACGGGTTTTACAACCTTTGCTGCGATCACCTACACCGGGTATGGTTGGAATAAAAAGAAGATGGTTGTCTTGGGCGACGGCTGTCCTCGAATCCAACAGCTGAGTTGGCGTAGGTTAGGTATTGTCGCCTGAGGTAGAAACATCGGTCGAAGAGTCAGAATTTGGAGACTTACCTTATAAAAAAAGTCCGGTTGACTATGAACTGTATATTTGAATACACTACAGAGCTTTCCTTTTCCTTGAAGATATAGCAGAGTAGGTACCTAGGTAGATATAGAGGGTTATCTGTGTCTGTCGGTGGCAACCTAAACAAATCTGGGATTATATAATCAGATAGAACGATAACTTAGTGAAGTGAAGCTTTAAGCTTGGAGCTCTATTTGGTCTAGCGCGGTCTGGTATATATCACCTCCCTCAGCCAAATATGTCAATGAAGTCTTTCCACTCACTCACTCACACAGGCACCTGTCTCTCTCTGCCCTCATCGCCTTATCCTCCATCGCCAGACAGAATCGTACTCTCTGGCTGTGTTCTTCGAGACTATCAACAAATAAATAAGCCGCTGCATAAGCTAAACTGCAAGTCCATTTAATCCGTCATGGCTTCTGTACCTCGAAACGTTGGTGCTCGTTTTTCTTGTTTCCCTATTCCAAGAATGAAACGGCCCACTGATGTATGATTCTGACTAGTTTGAACCACCAGAAGACTGGACAACCGATCCCAAAGAACTCAATGTTGGATTTGTCTGGGGTAACGCAAACAGCCCTGGACAGGAGATGGCCAGAGAGCACGGCCTAATTGATCCGCAGCCAATTATGTGCAGTAAGCCCCATATCGGCTGTGGCAGCGTCCTATTCAAGTCCGGCGACAAGTTCTACATATGGGGTCAGCTAGTTGGTGAGGTCTTCGAGATCACGTTAAGCCGGGATTTCAACAAGATCTTGCAGAGAATGTACAAGTCGGATACTTGTGGACTGAAGTTGAAGGCGTGCTAGTACAAATACTGCCTCCGGAAACCACGGTGGTGGGAACACTGGGATCAACGCTGCTGAAAATACCGCAAGCTCTCATTAATCTGATGAAATTGGAGAGGATTAGCTCGAAGAATGTTGTACTTCAGTTCCTTTGTCCTTCGTGGCCTTTCGTCTTGTTTGATTTGGAATTGGAGATTGCTGAGTTACCCTCATTAGCTCAGTATCAACGGAATAATCGGAGAGTTACTTGACTGGCTCAACATAACATCTTGTTCTGTATACGATATGAACTTGCCTGATTGCAGAAGGCGTATTCCTTTGAAGTAGTCTCTGTCGGAAACTTCATTTTTGAAAAGTTTTGTAAGTGGGAGTTTTCTTTTCCCACCCCCCAATAGTTGTTGACTCCTACGTGCTTCGCGTAATCCACACGATACTCTTGCTACTCACAATAATACGTCGCACAAAAGACTTGCGAAGCTGTTTCCATATCAAGCAGTATCAGTGATAAAACTCCGCATATCCCAATAGATATGGCAGAGAACATTCTCCGTGCATTTAACGGGACGCTAGATCTCCGGGCTGCCTACAGCTACAACGCTGGACAGGTACGTTCTGACTTCGGATCGACATATTCTGCAGAATAATTAAAAGAGATACCCAGGTCGAATCCTTCCTACAGGACGTTTGCAGCAACCCTGCAACGTATGCTGTACCGGCCAATGTCCAAACTGAGTTGCAGCGGATTCGGCGTGAGATCCTACGATTAAGGTATAGGCCCAGTCCTGCATTTCCAATACGTGCTACAGAACTCCTTGGTTATTATAGTATTTAACTATTTATAGATCGCCGAACGGACCAGACTACGCGTCAGCTACTCTGACGCCAAACCAGCACATACACCGAACGTTGAATCCGGCGTGGCCCCCATCACGGCAGCCTGTAATCGTTTCGAAGTTTAAAGTCGGAGGCCACGCTCACAGTAATCTAAACTACTGGGGCATCTTCGACCTTCTCGGCCTATTTCTGTCAACGATTGGCGGCGCTCCGACTGGAGCCAGCAAACGGAATTTCTACTTGCCTCTGACGGCCGTATACGGAAAATGGTGCGCAGCAGTTGGAGATCGAACGCCGTACATGTACCAATGTACATGGCGTCAGAGGTGCGGCCAGGCCGACGAGTTTTTTCTGGGCTCAAACTTGGCAGGGTATGATGCGCCAAAACCTTCGACAGGCACCTGGCTGTATGTTATGAGGCGGGCCCGCTTCCGTCCTCTGAACGACGAACCGTTCAAATTGACTGGATACGACTTCGTGCATGCCCCTGCTCGTAGGGGACCCCAAGCATACAACAGGCAAAGATTTGGTACTTGTGCGGAGACATACCCCTTTTTAAGACTTCTCAAGTGCGACTATTCCCTTCCATCCTGAGTGATATAGACTGACCGTTGCAGGGGCCACAATCCTACTAGAGAAACCTGCCATGGCTTAGCCTTGCAGCGAGACTTTACCACAGCTGCACAGTACGAAGATAATCTGTCTGGTTCTGCTTGGACGAGGGTTAGAGACCCTTGCCCCAACTGCCAGGTGCTAATCCGTCTATACGGAGGGAACCTTCAGAACTTTTTAAGTACTAGCGGCCAAGCCGGGGCGCCACCCTAGTGGCAGTTTCTTTTTTCCTTTTTTCCTTTTTTTCTTTTTTTTTATTATAGCCATTATAAAATATAGTTCTATATTTTAAATTATGCTAACTAAGGTAATTTACTTTACTTAATATATAATATAAACTTTAGTATTATTATTAATAGTATTAAAAACATTTTATTTTATAATATTTATTAATAAATTAAAATAATATAGTAAATCTTATAAAGACTAATATTTAAATATAATTTCTTAAACTATATTAAATTAAAATATACTTTATTAATTATAAATACTATAAATAAATTTATTCTATACTTAATAGAGTATATATTTTAGAATATATAAGTATTTTAATATATTAATTAAATATTAAAGATTTTACTATTACTTATATTTAGTTTAATATTATTTTAAACTTCTCTATATTAATTAAAGGAAAAAGGTAATCTTATAAAATATAATAAAAGTATATTTAGTAAATAAGCTAAAGATAAACTTATTTATTAATAATAATATTATTATATTATTAAATATATATTATAAACTAAAGTTATAGTAAACTTACTTAATCTTAGAGAAAAAATAATAAAATAACTAGATATATATAATAGTTAAATTAGCTAGTTATATAATATAGTTATTAAGATTAAGTTATTCTAATAACTTAATAAATTAAATAAATAAATAAATAAACCTCTTAAAAAATAAAAGTTAAATAAATTAATAATTTATTCTAACTACTATAAAACTTAATCTTTAACCTTATTATATATAGATTATTACTCGCTTATATTTTAATCTCTTATTTTATATTTTATTTAATTAGTTTAACTAATTACCTTTATTAAAAAATTTCTATACTTTAACTCTTTATAATTTAAGTCGCTTAACTAATAATATATTAAGAAGAAGAAAGATATTAAGAAGTAATATTAAAAATTAATATAAAGAATTATTAAAATATAGCCTAAGACTTATTATATTATTACGCTTAAGCAGACTAAATTAAATTTATTAATACTTTTAATCTAGTAAAGTAATATAATAGAGAACTTTAAGCTAAAGAGAGAAAAGGAAAAGAATTTAGAAAAAGAATTCTAATTCTTTTATTTATAGAATTCTTTATCTCTTAATTACTTCTAAATTATATAAGTAGTTAGGGGTTTTATTAGCAGATTTCTTACTTTATCTCTTTATTAAGTTAGCGCTAAGATAGCGCTATAATATTATCTCTTTATTTAAGCTAATTTATCCTTAAATTAATAGAATAATTATTATCTTATTATTTCTCTAAATTAATCTTTTTATTAATATAATTAATCTAGTAGTTTAAATTAGCTAACGGCTTAAGTTTATTAGAGAATCTATTATAAAACTCTTAAACCTTTAATAGTAAATTCTTAAAATTTTTAGCAGAATACTATATTATCTTTATTATACTTCTTTTAAGTAGCTTAATATTATAAATACTTATATTTAGTCTAAATAGCTAGAATCTTATTAACTTCTTATTTTAATTTACCCTAGATTTAAATTAGTAGAGGCTTTTTATAGACTTAATATAGAATAAGATTATTTAGCGCCTATTAAAGGTAATTTAGAGAAAATATAGAGTAAATCTTTATAATATTAAGAAGCTTTAGCTTCTAAGTATTTCTTATTTTTTTAAGAATTTTAAAGAGATTTTTTATTTAATTATTAAGCTTTTATAAGAATTAATTAAATATTTAATTTATAAGTTTAATAAGAACCTTATTACTAATATTAAAGTTAATCTCTTAATAATATTTATTTACTTATTTCTTTTACTATTTTTAAGCCTTTTTAATAGAGAATTCTATTATCTTTTAAATCTATTAGAGTCTGCGTATCTATTGCTAAGCTTTAGCTTAATTAGCCTTTTTAAATATTAGGATTAACTGCAGTACTATTCGCCAGTTAAATAAGATATAAGGCTTATATCTATATTTAACTGTAAATAAGAATATTCTTATTAATTTTTAGGTTAATATTACTGCTATAAAATTAATTATTAAGAAGTAGTTTAATTAATTATCTTAATAATAGCTAATATAGAGTTATAGTCTCTAGAAGTATATAGTTAAAGAAAGCTTTAATTTTATTTCTAGTAATAAATAGAATTTATCTTAAAAGTTTATTAATTAAAAACTATTATATTAAGAGCGCCCTTATAATAATATATATATTTAAAAAAATTTTAGCTATAATTCTTACTATTACTATATTATAATAAAGAATTAAAATAAAGTATTTATTAAAATAGTTAACTATAATAAATACTATATTATACTTATATTTATCTTTTAAAAAAGATTAGAAATCTATTAAGAGATATTACTATAGTTATTTAAAGATAGATAATAATTAAAGTAACTTTAATAAAAAGTTTTAAAGATTCTTAGTTTAGCAGCAGGTTAAATAATTATTAATATATTAATTAATAAAATTAATTATTTAGGGCTAGTAATAGCGGGACTTTATTAATTATTATATTTTTTAGTATTTAGAATAAATAGTAGAGATTTAATAATAGATTTTATTTAAAAGATATATTTATAAATTCTCTTAATTAAAGATAATTAATTATTTATTATATAATAAGAGTTCTTTTATTAATTAATATATTAAGCCTTTTTAGCCTGCGTCTTTATAAAATAATACTAGTTTAATATTCTTATAATTTTCCCTAAAAATCCTATCTATTAAGGTAAATTTTCTAGTTAATATTAAAGCTAAGAGAGTTCTCTATTCTATTAACTCCTTTTAGATTGATTTATCTAAGATTTTAAGCTCTAGTAAGCGCTAAGTCTAGTATTAGTTTATCTATTCTTTTTATTAGGAAATATTTCTTTTTTATTATAATAGAATATTAGCTAAAATATTTAGCTTTTTAGAGTAATATTAAATTAAGAAATAATAATAAGATAGAAATTCTACTTATTAAGCTTATCTTAAATTTAATATTTTAATAGTTATAAAATATTTAAGAGTATAGTAATTTATTAAGATATTAAATAGCTTATCTATTTATAAACTTATAAGCTTTATATATTATTCCTTAAGAGCTTATATAATTGCTAGGAGCTCCTTATTATAAATTAAATAATTATATTTAACTAGTATTATTATCTTTAAGTAATAAGTAATTAAATACTAAGGATTTTATTTATCTATCTATTAAATAAGTATAGCGGCTATAATACTATTTAAAGTATTTATCTTAATATATATATTCTTATTAAGATTATAATTATATAGAATTAATACTAATTAAAAATACTTTTTTAATATTTTAAAAGCTTTATAATACTTCTAATTAAAATTAAATAAGTAATTCTCCTTAGTTAAGTTTATTATTAGTCTTATAATATAATTATAGTCTTTAATAAACCTCCTATAGAAGTTATAAAAACTTAAAAATAAATAGACCTTATAGATTATTTTAGGCTGCTCTTAATCTTAAATAATAATAACCTTCTTAAGATTAATTTTAATACCTTTTATACTAATAATAAAACTAAAATATTTTATCTATTTTATATAGAACTTATATTTCTTAATATTAGCTTATAGACTAGCCTTTTACAAATAAGATAATATCTCTTTTATTTAAAGTTAATACTCTTACTTATTATTAAAATAAATTAAGATATTATTTAAATAAATACTTATATAATTATTTAGCAGGTTAAAAAAGAGATTATTTATATATTATTAGATATAGCTAGTCTATTAGTAAGCTTAAAGAGAAGTATATAATATTTATAAGTTCTATATCTTATATAAAAGGTTATTAAAGCTTTTAAACTAAGGTCTATTTAAATCTTATAAAATACTTATTAAATATTTAGTTTTATAAAGATCTTAGCTTAACTAATTTTAGCTAAAGTTTTATTAATTAATAATAAGAGATATTAATCTTTTTTTATAATAGTATTTAGGTAATAATAGTTAATATAGAATTATAATCTTTTATTAGCCTTTTTTATAAAGAAAATAAATAAAGTAAAAGACTTCTAGTTAGGTATAATAAAGTCTTTCTTTAAATTATTAATTAAATATACTTTAAGTATTTATAGTTTCTCTAGTAATTATTTATAAAGGGGTTAATATTTTAAAGAAATCTCTTCTTTAAGTTTTATTTTATAATTATAAGGCTAGTAAAAAAGTAATTTATTTAATACTTACTTAAAAAAAATATTAAAAAAGTTTTTATAGACTATAGGAAAATATTTATAAATTAGTTTTAAAAGTTTTTACTTTTTTTATATTATAGAGAACCTTTATTTAATAATCTTATTAATCTTATATAGGCTAATAATAAAGACCTCTATATTCTTTTTATATAATGCTTACTAGAATCTTTTAGCTCCTATATATATAATATTTAATATTATCTTAATATTTATCTTTAAAAGGTATAATTATATAATTATAGAAGATAAGCAATTAGTTTAATCTTTTAATTTATATTATATTTTTAAAACTAATTAGATATTAATTTATTTAGTTTATAGTAGCTAGTAGTAAGGGGGATTTTCTTATTTTAAGATCTAGATTTATTTCTTTATTTATAGGTCTCTTCTATTAGCATTTTATTAATATTTAAGATTTAAGAATAGCCTTATTAGATCTTTTTTATAGCGATTAGTTCTTATTAAATTAATAAATTTATAGATTACTATATAGCTAAATTAGCTATTAATTTTAAATATTTAAAAGGATAAACTTTTTAGCTATTTATTTTTATTTAAAGATTAAGTTATAATAATTTAAGTTAGTAATTAGTATAAAGAGGTTTAAATAAATTCTCTTATTAATCTTTAAGTTAGTAATTAAAATATAATCTATTTATTCTCTAGTTTAGTTATTATAGCTATTAATAAATATAGATTAATATAGAGATTTTAGGGAGGCGTTTAAGAACTAAGTAATTAATAGGATTAATAAACTATTAAAGAAATAAAGCTTATTTATTCTAAAATCTAATAAGA